AGTTTATAAGGCAGGGAAGAGAGCATAATGTGCCATTAGCAAAGTCAGGGGGAGCACATTGTCAAGCCGTAGAGAGGTTAGAGGGAGAGGCCAGTGATAACTCAGTAGTTACTTGAGAGCTTTGATCGAGTCCTGGGACCATAGGGTAGACTGAAGCTTCTTGGAATGGATTGAGGCAGTGAAGGCCCTCAGTCCTACACTGAATCCCCACATCCCAGCTTGGAGAATGTCAGAGTTTTACTCCCCATAGGCGTATTGAGTGCTTCCTGTGGTTTAAGGACAAAACAGGAGTTGACCAGTCAAGTTTTCTGGGCCAAGCTAACCCCTTATTTCATTGAGCAAATTTGAATCTGACAGATGACTGATCCTACCCGGTAAGGAGGCAAAGTTCTGTTTTGTTTTATTTTTAAGGTTCTGGAACAACCATTACCATTTAAAATAGATAATGAATAACAAATGACAACAAATGGCCTTAAACGAATCCATTGTTGTTTAATTCCTCTTCCTTTGGAACTGACCAGGCTGAGCAATGTTTAAGCGGGTGCAAGTGGAGATTGCTGTGTATAGGTAGCAGGCCTTTGGTTTGGATTTTGAATGCAGTAAAAATTAGTAACTGGTTTCTCTTAACTGTGGAATTCATGAAAAGGTCAGACTCAGCATGGTTGTTCCAGCATCCTGAAAAGGCCGGGTAACAGTAGTTTTCAACTGAGTAGATTTACCTCTACTATTAGCTACCTGTTTGTAGTGTTGTTGTTACATCTTTTCCTATTTACTTCAGAGTGAAGAACTGCAGCTAGAGGCTTGCTCTTGATTTATGTGACCTTCATGTTGAAGCATGAATAGATAGAGCGTTTGTAAAAACAAAATCTCATCTTTTAAGAATTTTCTTTTAAATCCAATCAAAGTTAATGTATGAAGTGGTGGGTGTTTAAATGATCACAACAGGCTTTTGTACGAAACTGAAACATTCTCCTAAAGCAAAAGCTTAAGGAGGAAACTCCTTTCCCAGCAGTAAGTGTGGGCCCTTAGAAGCCTCTTGGGACTCTGACTAGCTCACTTATGTCTTTCATTTGGTATCTTGACTTTGGAAATGCATACTTGGTCCTAACAGTCATTACAGAGATAGTATAATAATTACTACTTTCTTATTGGTACTGCTTTCTTACCCCCTTAGGAACTAGGGGGTTTCCTTTCTTTCTGGGTAAAGGTGAGAAAAGGATAAAAATTTGAAATTAATTATTTCCAAAATTATAGATATTTTAGAAGAATAAAACTTAAATTTGAGTCTTTAATTCTCCTTAAGTTTCTCTTTTATGTTTATCTAACATATTTTTTTCTTATTGCTAATAAAAAGATTCAAAAACTATTCTTATAGATTTTTTTCTCATAGTCTTTCCTCTGTTCCATAATTTTGGGGAGCACATATGATGAGATAATTGATGACACCATAAACCTTGCAAGGTTATAGCCCTCCTAAAAAAAGAAGGATTGTGTGAACACGGGGTTTGACTGATGAGTCACTGACCTCTACCTCTGAAACCAATAATACATTATATGATAATTAATTGAATTTAAATTAAAAAAAAGATTGTGTGCATGCGCACATGTGTGGTTATATGTGTATATGTATTTTTTTTTGTATACTCGAGTTGAAAGTCTTTGAAGCTTTTGCATTAGGTGAATGATGGGAAAGGAAGTTTCCTTTCTCCTCCCTCAGACGCTTTCTAGAAGTCCTTCCATTTGGTATAATACAGTTCAATATAGACTTTAACTTGTGTCTGTAATTCCCAAGAGTTGTCTTTTTGTGGGTTAGCGTCCAGCGGGATGATACACACTCTCCCTGGAGAGTCTCCCTGGAGTGGGAGGATAAGCCTCTGTGGGTGATTTAGAAGATGCAAGAATGTTTTTATCCAGAGGGGTAAAGTGGCCTGAACCTAAAGGTAGACTTAAAGAATCTGGATGATCACAGAACATGTAGGAAAGTTTGTGGTGCCCAGAAGGTATACTAAATAGGGATCTTCTAATGTAGCTTGCCAGATTTGCCGAATCATGGGAGTCTCCTAAGATACAACTCAATGACCTGGGAAATTGTATTTTTTTTTTTTTAAGATTTTATTTATTTGTCAGAGAGAGAGAGTGCACGCACAAGCAGGGGGAGTGCTCTGGCAGGCAGAGGAAGAGGAGACTCCCTGCTGAGCAAGGAACCTGTTAAGGGAGTCCTGGGATCGTGACCTGAGCCTAAGGCAGACACTTAACCAACTGAGCTAGCCAGGCACCCCGGAAATTTTATTTTTTATTAGCACTCCAAGTGACGGTCCTGGGTGCTAGCAGAAAGCTGCTGCTTCCCAATTCAATCTTTTTTTTTTTGTATCTCTTGGGAAGTCATCAAGTCACCTGGAAATACCCTTATAAAATAAAGGACCATAAAATTTGAGGAGGTCACTAGTTGATCAAAGCAGATTGTGGATGACACAGAGGTTCCTGAAGATGGGGCTTCCCAGAAGTCAGTCCTTAGGGTTGTAGGGAGATACATTCTCCTTGAATGGGATGACTGAGACTAGAATTTTGATAGCGTTCTGATTGATGGCATAAAGAACAAGTCTCAGATTTGGTGACCTGGCCTTCAGAAATGTTCCTGATAGTCCTCTGCTTGCCTTATCTCCCAGTTAACTGTTGCTCTGTACTATTTTGAATTAAGAGTGGAGTTTCCATTTTCCTCTGATGTACATACATATTCTTTTGCCCTTCTGTAATTTTCAACATAGAGAGCCACAGGGTCCTTTTTAATCCTAAATGTACAAGTTGATTACAACATGTTTGTTTCTCTTAAATGGAAGTACTTGGCCAACTCCTCTTCCTATGTGGGAGGTCTCCAGGCAACTGTGAATAACTTTTAAAGGCTGCTAAGAGGTCAAGAAGTGCTTTGCTGGGTCTTGTTCTGTCTCTTTAAAAGCAGGCTTCTTGGTCTTGATTGGGCCCTAAAATTATGTTTCTTCCTTGACTCTGTCTTAGGCTCTCTGCTGCTCCTTTGGAGGGTTCTTCCACCCTCCTCTGCTCCGTCCTTTATCTCTAACTCTTATACACACTGAGATTCCAGTCTGTTACTTTGCACGCAGGGCAGATCTATTGAAGCATTCTACCTTATGCCATCTTCAGGTGCCAAATGTTTATTTTTTATAGCGAGAGCAGGAACACAAGCACGGGGGAGTGGGAGAGGGAGAAGTAGGCTTCCCGCCGATCACGACCTGAGCTGAAGGCACACTTAACGACTGAGCCACCCGGGCGCCCCCAAGTGCCAAATGTTTAAAAGAGAATCCCATCATCCTGATTTTTTCTGTACCCCGATGCCTGTCGCAGTTCTTAGACACAGATGTAATCCCATGGTCAATCTATTACTCTTTTCTTCATGGACTCACAAAAAAGTGTCAAAAAATGGTGGCCATTTCCTTTCCTTCATCACTTGTACCTAAGCGATCACCAGGTCTTGTCATTTATTTCTTTGATTTTTTTCCTGCTTTTTTTCTCAGTTCTTAAATATACCACCTATCTTCTTACCTCCAATTCACACTGAAATTCATTTTCCTCTGCCTGCCAGACTAATCTTGCTAATTTTTCTTTATAAAATGGGAATTATTATACCAGTCTCACAGGGCTGCTGCAAGGATTACAGATCTTTTTTTTTTTTTAAGATGTTATTTATTTTTTGACAGACAGCAAGAGAGGGAACACAAGCAGGGGGAGTGGGAGAGGGAGAAGCAGGCTTCCTGTTGAGCAGGGAGCCTGATGCAGGGCTCGATCCCAGGACCCTGGGATCATGAGCTGAGCTGAAGGCAGACCCTTAACGACTGAGCCACCCAGGCGCCCCAAGATTTTAATTTATTTTTTGACAGAGAGAGAGAGAGCGAGAGAACACAAGCGGGGGGAGGGGGAGAGGGAGAAGCAGACTTCCTGCTGAGCAGGGAGCCCGATGCGGGGCTCCATCCCAGGACCCCGGGATCATGACCTGAGCCCAAGGCAGACGCTTAATGACTGAGCCACCCAGGCGCCCCAGGATTACAGATCTTCTTGACTTACAGTTGGGGTTACATTCCAGTAAACCTATCATATGTTGAAAAATGTCATGAGTTGCATTTAGTGCACCTAACTTACTGATCATCATAGCTTAGCCCAGCCCATCCTAAATGTGCTCAGAACACTTACCTTACCTTGCAGTTGGGCAGAATCATCTAACACAAAGCCTATTTTATAGTAAAGTATTGAATATCCCATGTAATTTATTGAATACTGCTCTGAAAGTGAAAAACAACAGTTGGTATGGGTACGGAATGATTGTAAGCACATCGGTGGTTATCCTCGATTGTGAGGCTGACTGGGAGCTTTGGATCCCTGTTACCCGGCATCACGAGTATCACTAGCCCAGGAGAAGATCACAGTTCAAAATGGTATGGTTTCTACTCAATGCATGTGGCTTTCACACCATCATAAAGTTGGAAAAGCATTAAGTCGAACCTGTAAGTTGGGGGCCATCTGTAGATGTAAAGTGTTTATCATGTTGTCTGATGCAAAATAAGTATTCAGCAAATGGTAGCATAAAATACTTATTACCTCCTTCTGAATTTGATTATTCTTCACTTCACCTTCCATACCGTGGAAGCAAGCAGTAAAGTGAATAGTCAAAAATACGGGATGTAGGGCCCTGTGAGAGCCGTGGTTTGAGTCCTTAGAGTTCAGCTTAACTAGTGAGATTTCAGGCAAATTACTTATATTCTTTATATTTTTCAATTTGAAATGGTAACAATTATACTGACCACTAGGATTGGTAGAAGAAGAAAATGAGATAACTTTTGTGGAGGGGGAATGCTTCCTTACAGCTGCTTTGCTCTGTTTGCTCCTTGTTTTTGTTCTTCCCATACTGCATTTGTGAATCCTGTAGTGTCTGACAAGTAGGTTTAAGAATTTTGGAGCAAGTGTGATGAGTGTTTCCTCTCTTCTTCTTGCAGGTTAAGTCCATCCACAGTAATGGCCGCGGCCTTACCCAGGACCCTGGGGGAGTTGCAGCTGTATAGAATATTACAAAAAGCCAATCTGCTTTCTTACTTTGATGCCTTTATTCAACAAGGTGGCGATGATGTGCAGCAACTCTGTGAAGCCGGAGAAGAGGAATTCTTGGAAATCATGGCACTCGTGGGCATGGCAAGCAAACCCCTTCATGTTCGAAGGCTACAGAAGGCTTTGAGAGACTGGGTTACGAACCCTGGCCTTTTCAATCAGCCACTGACTTCCCTGCCTGTCAGTAGCATACCAATCTATAAGTTACCAGAGGGGTCACCAACGTGGCTGGGAATATCCTGCAGCAGTTACGAAAGGAATAACAATGCCCGAGAACCTCATTTAAAAATCCCCAAGTGTGCTGCCACCACCTGTGTGCAGAGCCTGGGACAGGGGAAATCAGATGTGGTGGGGAGCTTAGTGCTGCAGGGTATCGGTGAGTCCAGACTCTGGCAAGGCCACCATGCCACCGAGAGCGAGCACAGCCTCTCCCCAGCCGACCTTGGCTCCCCGGCTTCCCCGAGAGAAAGCAGCGAGGCGCTGGATGCCGCCGCCGCGCTCTCTGTGGCCGAGTGTGTGGAGCGGATGGCCCCCACGCTGCCGAAAAGTGACTTGCATGAGGTGAAAGAGCTGCTAAAAACCAACAAGAAGTTGGCCAAAATGATTGGTCACATCTTTGAGATGAGTGATGATGATCCACACAAAGAGGAGGAAATTCGAAAATACAGTGCAATATATGGCAGGTTTGACTCAAAGAGAAAGGATGGGAAACATCTCACGCTTCATGAGGTAAAAGCCCATGTTTTTCTTTGTATGTATGTGGTGCGTTTTGCTTCTTAGAGATAAGTTTGGAAATATTTTGCAGCAAAGGAGATGCGTTCCCTGAAAACACTATTAAACGCCTTTAGGTGTTAGCAAAATATTAACTCGTTCATGAAAATAGACCATATTTATTGTGTTAGGGTGTTTTTGTGTTGAACTTAAACGTGCTGAGCATTGGAGCTACAGTGTAGGGTGACTTTTGGAAAAGTGTCAGAATTTAAGCAGTGAAAGCATAAAGTCTTTGCACTTAAAGGCAGCCTTTGTTTTTTAATTAAGAAATAAAATAGGATTTTCAATATAACCATTCATTTAAAGGGCATTTGGGGTGCCTGCATGGCTCGGTCAGTTAAGCATCTGACTCTTGATTTCGGCTCAGGTGATGATATCAGGGTCGTGAGATCAAGCCCTGCGTAGGGCTCCAGGCCCTGCTTAAGATGTCTCTGCCCCTCCCCTCCGTCTTTTAAATAAATAGATAGATCAATAGATAGCATTTTTGTAGATTTTAGAAAAAAAAAAATGTGTAAGAAAATGACCAGAACTCAAAAGTAATTTTCAGCTAGCATAGTCAAAAAATTAGATGAATGTTGTAAGTATTATTATGGGTTTGAAATTGTTTTGGTTTGACATTTGGCATTAAAATTCTCATCATTGTATATTTGTAGCACTCTGTCCAGAAATATTCTTCTTAAGTAGAAGAATGCATACATACCTCTTTTGCATGTATTCCCTTTTTCTTCTAGTCCATCTGGTCAGTGTATCATTTTTATGATGGAGCTCAAGTATAAGCTTAAGTCTGTTCTGATATGTTTTCCAACAAGTGGAATGACCTTCCCTTTCCTTTCCATTTTTACCCTTACATACACTACTGTCATAGTAACTTCAACACTTTATTGTACTTATTTGTCCCTCACAGTATACTTTGGTTTTCTTCAAGACAGAGATAATGTCTCATTCATTTTTATATCCTCAGAGTCTAACACCCCATACATGCTCGGCAAATAAATGCATTTTCAAAGTTAAAAAGGCTATTTTATTTTATTTTATTTATTTTTCAAAATTTTATTATGTTAGTCACCATACATTACGTCATTAGTCTTTGATGCAGTGTTCCATGATTCATTGTTTGCGTATAATACCCAGTGCTCCATGCAGTACATGCCCTCTTTAATAACCATCACCAGGCTAACCCATCCCCCCACCCCCCTCCCTTCTGTAACCCTCAGTTTGTTTCCCGGAGTTCAGAATCTCTCATGGTTTGTCTCCCTCTCTGATTTACCCCCCTTCATTTTTCCCTTCCTACTATCTTTCTTTTTTTTTAAATATAATGTATTATTTGTTTCAGAGGTACAGGTCTGTGATTCATCAGTCTTACACAATTCACAGCGCTCACCATAGCACGTACCCTCCCCAATGTCCATCACTCAGCCACCCCATCTCCCACACCCCCCACCCCTCCAGCAACCCTGAGTTTGTTTCCTGAGATTAAGAATTCCTCATATCAGTGAGATCATATGATACTTGTCTTTCTCTGATTGACTTATTTCGCTTAGCATAATACCCTCTAGATAGACATTGTTGCAAATGGCAAGATTTTGTTGTTTTTTTTCTGATGGTTGCGTAATATTCCTGTGTGTGTGTGTGTGTGTGTGTGTACACACCACATCTTTATCCATTCATCTGTTGATGGACATCTAGGCTCTTTCCATAGTTTGGCTATTGTGGACATTGCTGCTGTAAACATTGGGGTGCACGTACCCCTTTGGATCACTATATTTGTATCTTTGGGGTAAATACCCAGTAGTGCAATTGCTAGGATGTAGGGTAGCTCTATTTTCAACTTTTTGAGGAACCTCCATACTGTTTTCCAGAGTGGCTGCACTAGCTTGCATTCCCACCAACAGTGTAGGAGGGTTCCCCTTTCTCTGCATCCTCACCAACATCTGTCATTTCCTGACTTGTTAATTTTAGCCATTCTGACTGGTGTGAGGTGGTATCTCATTGAGGTTTTGATTTGGATTTCCCTGATGCCGAGCGATGTGGAGCACTTTTTCATGTGTCTGTTGGCCATTTGGATGTCTTCTTTGGAAAAATGTCTGTTTGTGTCTTCTGCCCATTTGTTGATTGGATTCTTTGTTCTTTGGGTGTTGAGTTTGATAAGTTCTTCATAGATTTTGGATACTAGCCCTTTATCTGATATGTCATTTGCAAATATCTTCTCCCATTCTGTTGGTTTTCTTTGGGTTTTGTTGACGGTGTCCTTTGCTGTGCAAAAGCTTTTTATCTGGATGAAGTCCCAGTAGTTCATTTTTGCCCTTGTTTCCCTTGCCTTTGGCGATGTTTCTAGGAAGAAGTTGCTGCGGCTGAGGTGCAGGAGGTTGCTGCCTGTGTTCTCCTCTAGGATTTTGATGGATTCCTGTCTCACATTTAGGTCTTTAAACCATTTTGAGTCTGTTTTTGTGTGTGGTGTAAGGAAATGGTCCAGTTTCCTTCTTCTGCATGTGGCTGTCCAATTTTCCCAACACCATTTGTTGAAGAAACTTGTCTTTTTTCCATTGGACATTCTTTCCTGCTTTGTCGAAGATGAGTTGACCATAGAGTTGAGGGTCCATTTCTGGGCTCTTTATTCTGTTCCATTGATCGATGTGTCTGTTTTTGTGCCAGTACCATACTGTCTTGATGATGACAGCTTTGTAATAGAGCTTGAAGTCTGGAATTATGATGCCGCCAGCTTTGGTTTTCTTTTTCAACATTCCTCTGGCTATTTGGGGTCTTTTCTGGTTCCATACAAATTTTAGGATTATTTGTTCCATTTCTTTGAAAAAAGTGGATGGTATTTTGATAGGAATTGCATTAAATGTGTAGATAGCTCTAAATAGCATTGACATCTTCACAATATTTGTTCTTCCAATCTATCCATTTCTTTGTGTCTTCTTCCATTTCTTTCATGAGTATTTTATAGTTTTCTGAGTACAGATTCTTTGCCTCTTTGGTTAGATTTATTCCTAGGTATCTTATGGTTTTGGGTGCAATTGTAAATGGGATCGACTCCTTAATTTTTCTCTCTTCTGTCTTGTTGGTGTATAGGAATGCCACTGATTTCTGTGCATTGATTTTATATCCTGCCACTTTACTGAATTCCTGTATGAGTTCTTATAGTTTTGGGGTGGAGTCGTTTGGGTTTTCCACATAAAGTATCCTATCATCTGCGAACAGTGAGAGTTTGACTACTTCTTTGCTGATTCGGATGCCTATAAAGGCTATTTTATTGCTAAATTTTTTATAGCGTTTATCCTGTAGAAGAAATAAAATGTTCATTTGAATGTAGTATTCCATGTAGGAAACATTAGATTTTCCCCCTCAGGCTTGTACTTTAACACAGAGAAGACTATATACTTATTGCAAAAATACTCAGTTATTACAAAAGGATGTAAAGTAATTGAACCTGTAAACTTTCAGATAGTTTTCTTTATGTATACAAATAAGGGATATTTGGCACACTATCCTCTGAATTCCCTTTAAAAAAAAAAAAACTTATAACACTATACTTACCGTACAGTATACTATTAGGTATCTTTCCAAGTGAACACACCTAGAGTTACCTTTTTTATTTTGAGGTTTCATTGTATTCCATAATGTGAATGTATCATTATTTATTTATCTGAACCATTCATTTGGTGTCATTTAGGATGCTTCTATTTTTTTTTTTTGATACTACATATTGTGGTATATGAATACATACTCCTTGACAGACAGATTTGGGCATGTTTTTCTATAGAATAGATTCCAACATGTAAAATTATGGGATCAAAGAATATAGATTTAATATTTTAGTAGATACTGCTAAATTGCCTTCTAAAACTGCAACGTCTATAATTCCATTATCACATGCAAGTGTCCATTTCTCCACACTCTTGCTAATACTGCATTTATCATTCTTTTTAATCTTTGTCAGTCTAACAGGTGAAAAATTTTCATTGCTCAAATTTACTTTCTTTAGTGAGGATGAGTATCTTTTTATAACAGACATTCAATTTTATGTTCTTATCATTTGTTTTAATGTTTTAATTGTTTAATGTTTTAATTTGTTTAATATTTAATTTGTTTAATGTTTATTTCATGTTTAATTGTTTAATGTTTTGATTTGTTTTTCTTACCTCTAAAAAATTTGATTGGTTAGAACTTTTTATATTTTAAGGATATTAACCTTTTGTCTCATGTTGTGAACATTTTCCTAGATTATCATTTGTCCTTTAACCTTTCAGACTCATTTACCATGTGGAAGTTTAATTTTATGTAGTAATATTTATTGATCTTATCCTGTATGATTTCATTAGTCTAATTCTCTATTCCCCTACCGGTATAGAGTTCCTTTAATTACTGTAGCTAAGTAATATATTTTGATACCTGGAAAAGCAAGTGTTCTTCAATAGTCTTGTTTTGTAGCTTCTATTTTTTTAGGTGGTCATGCATTTCTCCTTCCAAATGAAATTTTTATTTTTATTTATTTATTAAAAGATGTTTATTTATTTGAGAGAGAGAGAGAGCATGAGCAAGGGAGGGGCAGAAGAGGGTAAAGGAGACTCCCCACCCAGTGGGGAGCCGGACATGGGCCTTGAACCCAGGAGCCTAAGATCATGACCTGAGCCAAAGTCAGATGCCCAACCTACTGAGCCACCCAGGCGCCCCCAAATGAAATTTGTAATGCATTTACTAAATTTCTCAAAAATCTTTATTGGTATTTTTATTACAAATTCATTAAAGGTATGGATTAATTTGGGAAAAACTGACATTTATAATAACGAAAACTCCCTGTAGTATAGCATATATATTTACATATTTAGATCTTCTATATTCCTCAGTAATTTTATAGTTCTTTATTCACATATCACATAGGTTTTGCACATTTCTTGTTATGTCAAAAACTATGTAGTATAGGGGTGCTTGGGTGGCTCAGTCGTTAAAACGTC